TGGACTCATGCACAACCACTCTGACAGTGGGTGGAGAATCGGCCCACCCTGCTCTTCCGAATACTCCACCCCAGGGACCCAAATAACAACAGAGGAATAAAGCTACATTTAAACTTAACTTTCCCTGGGGCTGCATGTGCTTACCCACATGTCAGGATAGTGGCTGCGCAAAAGTCTGGGTGCCAGATATACACCCCTGACCACCATCCCCAACACTCTGTTACAATGCATACAGAGACATGCAGGCATAAAGACACATACATAAATGCATACAGAGACACATACATACAGGTATACAGAAACATACATACAAAGACATACAGGCATACAGAGACATACAGACACATACATACATGCATATATACAGAGACATATAGGCATAGAGAAAAAGTAACCGGCTGGAGGGGAGCGCAGTTTGCTTCCCTCCAGCCAGTTAGCCTGACATTGCGTCCCCAGGGCCGGTGTGCCCTAAGGTGGCCACCTGGGCCACCTTATGGTAGCGCTGGCCCTGCCTGTATCCTCACATACATTTTATGTAACACTTGGCTTCAAATCAGGTTTAATATACCTGTAAATATTTTCCCTTTTCTATTTTTCCTATCCTTTCTAAATGTATATCCATTTAAATTAATAGCCTAATCAAGCGTTTCATCCGGTAAGCCCAATTTTATACAGACAGGGAGGATCACATTATTCTCAACTCTTTCTTTACTCCCTTAGCAGCAAAGAGAAAAAAGGGAACTATCTGAAACTTTGAAATGACATCATAGCATATCAATACTAACATAGGCATTAACACAGCCAATCAGAACATCCCACAATACCTCCCCCTATATATAGCTGAGTGTAATCTAAAACTCCTTAAATAAATACACCTATTATTCATTTGTCATATGTTTGTCAGATCAGGGTCAACACTACCACAAGGCGGCCGCTTTAAGGTGCATCGGCCCCAGGGGCGCAATGACAGGCTGACCATCAGGAGTGGAGCACACTGCGCTCCTCTCCAGCCGACTATTTTTTAAGCTTACTGCCCGCAGAGCCCAGCCTCTTATTGCTCCATGCACCCCAACCTCCTACCCTGGTGTATGCCGCAGTCTGTGTGGATGGGGCGGGGATATGAATTAATTCATATCTCTGCTCCCTGTGTACCACACAGCTTGGCTGGCACTCAGTGATGAGACTAAGCTGCAGGACAGGACTCCACAGAGCCGGACAGCATGCTCCTCAGGGACCTGATTGTACAGTATGTATGTAATTGTAAGTATGTAATTGTGAATGTCTGTGTATCCATGTATGTCTCAGTATGTCTGTCTACATGTCTCTGTTTGTCTATGTATGCATGTCTCTGTATGCCTGTATGTCTATGTATGTATGTCTCTGTATGTATGTCTCTGCATGCCCGTATGTCTCTGTATGTATGTATGTCTCTATATGCCTGTATGTCTATATATGCATGGCTCTGTATGCCTGTATGCCTCTGTATGTATGTATGTCTTTGTATGCATGTCTCTGTATGTATGTATGTCTTTGTATGCATGTCTCTGTATGTATGGATGTCTCTGTGTGTCTCTGTATGTATGTATGTATGTATGTATGTATATCTCGGTATGTATGTATGTATGTCTCTGCCTGTTTGTCTCTGTGTGTCTACATGTCTCTGTGTGACTGTGTCTTTATGTCTCTGTATGACTGTGTCTATGTCTCTGTATGACTCTATGTCCGGGTCTTTATGTCTCTGTATGACTGAATATATATCTATCTATGACTATGTCTGCATTTGTATGTCAGTGTACTTGCATTACCATGATTGACTGTGTGCCTTTTATGACTGTGTCTGTATATGTTTGTGACTGTGTGCCTGAAAAACTATGCCTGTGTGTCTTTATGTTTGTGTCTTTGTTCATGTATGCATTTTTGCCTGCAAATCTATGTCTATATAGCTTGGAAGGAAAGACACACAATGGGACCTGAAGGGGAGGGACACATAAAACGGACTGAGGGAAAAAAGAGCCACAGGGGTTGTGGTGGAGAAGGAGACAAAGAAATGGGCTGGGGGAGAAAGGGACACAGTAAGGGGTTGGGGAAAGGAAGAGAAAAAAAAGGTATGTAAGACATACTAAAAGGGATATGAAACACAAAAAGGTCTAAGAAATGCAAAATGGGGATTACAAGACACACAGGTGAAGATGCATTTTTTTTTATCATGCACTTTATGTTCGCCTGTGTAGCTAAAAAAATCCTTGCACCGGCCCTGTGTGAGGTGATTACTTGTCTACACTCTCAATGCTATTGTTTTAAATATGTTTATTGTCATCAATATAAACACGGGTGTTGAACATAGTATTATTGACGCAGATAGTCGCCTACGCAGAGGCGTGCATATTGAAAGTGTAAACAACGTGAGGCCGACATATTTCAGTTAGCTCAGAATAATATATGGTTGCCTGCGCAGAGGCATAGAAGTCAAAATAAACAAGCAATGACAAATATTGGGTATTCATAGGCCTTGCATAGCTGGAGATACAAAAGGAGTTAAACCTGCTTGGTACTGCGTTGTTAGGGCGTTGTTGTCAGGTATGTAGTGGCAATTAGTAGTGGCAGTTAGTAACGTGTATTCAGCTATCAACTCATTGAATGGTACTAGTGTGGCTCGTTAATGGGTGCTTTCATTAAGGTGCGTCTCGCACATTTTGCCGCTAGGTATGCGACATGGACTGATGTGTAATAGGCCCTCTCCCTGCGGGAGTGTGACCTTATGTGCTCTGGGTATATGATCCAGTCGTTGAGCCAGCGGTTTTAAGCAGTGTAGCACTAATGTCATGTAGCCTTGCGTGTGATGTGTCACGTCACTTGTCCGTGAACTTTAGCCTTAAAGGGTACCATAGCTTTTCACGTGTGCCGGTGTGGCTATGTGTGGACATGCACTGTATGCGTCTTCCCTGACTGTGTGGGAGTTAACGTGTATTCTGTTTTGAGTCTGTTCATTGTTATCACCTCATAGCTTCCATTGTAGACTTGGTTTTGTTTATATGTGGGTGCTCGCCTACGCAGAGGCGCTTTTTTTTTTTTCAGTTACACTGGTCAGAATGCCGTCTTATTGCCTGCGCAGAGGCAAGTTCGTCGTGACTTTTATATTACATGTTTGAACAAAGTGTTGCATGGTACAGTTTACATTTTACCCCTTACATTTAACTAACGACTTCCTTATTTGGAGAGTGCAATGCGGGTGGCATATTTTAACAATACACTGTTTTCTTCTGAAATGCCTGTGTTTGCATATTTATCCCTGTTGCCATAAACTGCAGTGAAGACCCATCTTGCGAAAATGGGCTAGTGTTTGCGTGCTCTGACCTTTTGCCTGCAGCCCTGAGTTCTAGTGTGTCTTGTGGCTACCAGCTCGTGTATATTGAGGTTGTATTGGTTTTGCACGTTTCGTGTCCTTCCCCTCTGCTTGTAATGGTGAAACCTTTTGCGGTAAGTCTGTGTCTCCTCTATTGCGTGTGTCCATGGTTGTGCCTATGTTGTGTTGCTTTATTCTGGAGCTCTGTGTGTCCACCTCTAGTGTTGCATCTTTGTGGTTCAGGTTTTTGTGTCTGAGTCGCTGTCTGTGTGTCGTGGTGTCGACGCGTTTAGGTGGGTTCGCCTGTGTGCGTGTGCGTGGTTGTGGTGCTGTCCTGTGGATTTGGGGGTGGATCAAAAAGGTCTGTGTTTGGGCTGTGGATGTGTGTGGCGCTCAGATCGTGTGGTTTCGCAACTCCCGTCTGGTTCTATCTGACTGCAGTGGCCGTCGGCTCTATGTCTTGACCGTCCGTGTGTTTGTAGTGGGCCTTGTTTCAGGTAGTGCAGTTTGAAGTCACGGCGTTTTTTTTTGTTTGTTTTTTTCTATAAAAATGTGCCCGTGAGAGTGTGCATTCTGGACGGACTTTTTTCTGCACGTAGTCGTCACGCTGCCGCTCATATGTGTTGTGTGTTCACTTGTGCATGTCGCTGACTGGCCTGTTTATTGTCTCGCCTCCAGTTGTCCTTTGGATATATGTCTATATGTGGTGGTGAGTCGTGTTTCGTCTATGTGTATGTGGGTTTTTTGGGTTGGTGATGCTGGGTGATTCCATCCCCTGTCGCCGTCTCGGTTCGCCGTTCCCCATCTCTTCATGTTATAATGTTATAATAGACCCACTCCATGCCGGCATCAAACAATCCAAAACACGTGAGCAGTTGACAGACAAAAGAAGCAGCTCAGAGACAAACCGACGCGACACGCACTCAGAACCCATAATCGATACAAACTAAGACACGGAGCAGGCGCTCCGAGTAAATAGCCACTCGGAAGACAGATATCGATTATGGGTTCTGAGTGCATGTCGCGTCGGTTTGTATCTGAGCTGCTTCTTTTGTCTGTCAACTGCTCACGTGTGTGTTTTGGATTGTTTGATGCCGGCATGGAGTGGGTCTAGCTGTTTCGTGAGGTGAGGACACTTTGGTATGGGGTGCCTTGTGGGTCATATCGGGCCTGCGGGGTTCCTTTGTTTGGTTGGGGTGGAGCTTTGAGTCCCTAGTCTAAGGTTCGTCTGCCGTCTCCGCACAGTCTAGGGCAGCGGTTTGTGATGTCTGGGGGAGGGCTCCTCTGTCATCTAGTCGCCTGTAGTAACTGTGTTGTCGTCTATTATTAGCCTCGGTCAGGCTCTAAGACCTGGGTGGCTCTGTATCCGCCTGGAGGCTGGCTTGAGCCAGTGTGTATGAGTTTCAAGTATGTGCCTAACATTGCGCATTTAACTGTAGGCACCGTATAAAGGGCTTGGCTTGCTCCCTTTTTTTTTTGGTCGTGCTCGCGGCTTGCTATGCGTTATAATTTCTGCGTGCTTGTTTGGTTCTCTTAAGGTGTCCCCTGTGATGGTACTCACGATTCAGCTAGGTCTCATCAATGGAATGGGAGTCCCCGTGTCCTTGCCTCGGCTGTGCGGTGCTGTGGTCTGTTACTGCTCCCTCTGCGCTTGGCCCTAGTGCCATTCGCATTGGTGCTGGGGTCGGGGCCTTTGCTGGTTCACGTTGGGTCTGCGTGGTTGTTGTTGTTGCGGGCCCGGTGGTTGTTGGAGGAATAATCTCGCCAGCCAGTCCGGCATCTGTTGTGATGGGAGGCCTAGTGTGTGGAGAAAGCTTTGGACATCATCTGGCTTCCGTATTGTCAGTTGGTCTTGTCCGTGTCTGGCTGTGAGGGAGAACGGGTATCCCCAGCGGTACGGTATGTTGGCTTGTTGCAGCGCTGACGTCACTGGCCGCAGGGCCTTCCTGGCCAGCAGGGTGTAGCGTGAAAGGTCTTGGTAGATAGATACAGTCTGACCTTCCATTTGGATCGTCCCCATGCGTCTGGCTGTGCGTAATATTTCTTCTTTTAGGTGGTAATTTTCCAGACAGCATATTATGTCTCTCGGTTGTTCCTCACGTGCTGGTACGGGTCTCAGCGCTCTGTGTGCGCGGGTTAGGCCAATTCTGGGTACGGGTTGGCCTCCAAGTACCTGGGCAAAGATCTGTCGCAATATTTCCGGTATGTTTTCTGAGTGGCCTCCTTCCCGCACTCTGCGGACGCGCAGGTTCATCCTGCGGACGCGGTTGTCTAAATCATCAACCCATGTGGTAAGGAAGGCTAGATCAGCGTCTTGTTTCGTGACCGTCACGTTTGTGAGTTCCAAATCAGTCCTGAGCGCCCTTGCTTCAGTCTCTGCTACTGCCATGCGGGCCTCTATGTTTGCCACATCTGCGCGCAGCTGGGCCACCTCTTCATGGACCACGCGGCCCAGTCTGTCTGAAAGGGCTTCAAAATCAGTCTTTGTGAGTAACTTTGACAAAATGTCTCTCCACTCACCCCCTTGTGGTTGCTGTGCGTCCAGGGTAGGCGATGGGGCCGGGGAGAATACCGCCGGTGTGGATGAGAAGGAGTCAAGCTGCAGGCTTGCGGCCTCCATTTCCCTCCGCGGGGACTGATCGCGGCTGGCGGTATGGAGGAATGCACGGATCGATTGATCCCCTCCGTGTCCCGCGGGTCTTGGGGTGCCGCCGGGGTCTGCCAGCCTCCTTGTGCGACCCATATGGTGGATGCAGATGAGCTGGGCTTAATGTATTGCGGAATTTATCGCGGGTGCCACGGGGAGCTGCAGAGTTAGGCGGCCTTCTCCATCGGCTGCCGGACACGCCCCCCCCTCAATGCTATTGTATTTTTTTTATTACCTCATCTTTGCCCCTGTTACCTTACTTCTCTTCACTGGTTTACTTGGTGACTCTTCGCTGTCCTTTAAATTTTATTCTTTAATTACATATTACCATTCTTCCCTTTAAGTTTTGTAAACTCTTGCTCCTACACCCCTCGCCTGTCTCTCACATTAGCTTGCCACTGCGGTTGGTTGTGTAACTATCCGTTGACCCCCTTGCCCCTGGTCACACAGCAGCCTGTAACTCACAATGTAAGCTTAAATTTGCCTCCATAAAAATGCAAAATTGACATGGCTTGTCCTCTTACTGATGGCATGATCACACCATGGAAAAGAAGCCCCCACTAGGTAAAATCGGTGTGGAAGTAGAAGAGAACCAAGGCTCTCCCTGATACATCTAATACATCTGATGCTGAGTTAATGTCGAAGGATGCTTCAGATGTGTCTTAACTGACTACAATACGTCTAATGGCGATATCCAATCGCTGCCTTTGTCTAATCTCAAGGCGACTAAAAAAGTATGCAGATGACTCTGCCCTGCTAAACACCCAGGGTGAACCCCTTTTCGACCCTGACAACCTGCATCACCCATAGTCAGCAGATTGGTTCTCCACAGAGCATGTGACCAAATACCTGGCTTTGCAAGTGCACAAGCCACTTGACAAGGACGCAAGGAACAAATTCAGGACTGAATGCCCAAAGCTCACTGTTTCTGATTCCTTCTGTGCTACCCCTGAGGTAGACCCCAAGATTGCCCAGTTTCTGGAAAAACTTTCTGGAAGCCAAAAAAGGACTAGATTTCTGGATGTAATTGCCAAGAAAAGATCTTTATTTGTAGGTCCTAATATTTGAGATGGTAGAGTCTGCTTTCTCTTATTGGCAATGCTAATAAAGCACTGGCCACCAAAAGACGTAAGCCTATCATTTTTGAAGATAGAGCTCGTTAATCTTACCACCTCTGAGCCTGGACCACAGGCAAAAGTTTTCCTATTCAGAGACAATTTTGTTAAAGAATTGGGTACGTTTGTAAGCAACTTAGCTGTAGATAAGGCACAATCTAACATGCGTAAGGTATTTAACTCTGTTTTGGTGGGGCCAGCAGAGCACTGAGCCTTCTGGCCTGGCCGACTCGTCACGGGTTAATTCCATGGGCTGTGTGGCTCCATGGAATTGGGCATACTTGCACAACAATAAACCAACATCACCTTCCACAGAAAGGTTGCCCTTGGCAGAATCGAGGGTCCAGAGGGTCACATCAAAGCCAACAAACTTATGGTAAGTCGAATGTTAACTCTCCCTTCTCTCCATACAAATATTAAGGGTAACCTATGTGGGTTTTTGTTTTGTTTGTTTTTTACAGTGCATGGAGGTAATCGGTTATGGACACGTGGTCTCCTACAGACTGGAATGTGTATCTACAGAATTTATTACATGCTTAGATTCACTACTGCAAGGCTGGAAGTTGGTTAAAAAGAAGTGCGGCGGGGAGCAGGGCCGGACCGTCGAGCTGAAAGGAAGCCATCTCATGCAGCTCCGGTCCTGAGCCCGAATAAACACTGATTTTCCGCCCACAAATGGACTATTAACCCTTAAAAATAATATATCTGTATAGAGTAACCTGCCAGCATCACAAAGAGACCAACCGGCGGCTGCAGACCCCACAAAAGTGAGGAATCTTGAAACTCGGGCCTACATGATGGCATGAACCTGCGGCCTATTGCTGAACCTGGAAGCACTCTGCACATGCTCAGTGAACGAGGACGATATGAAAACGCCTGTCTCTCCCAACATGCAAAAGGCGACCGGAGAGACCACACTGCAGCCCTGCACCCCCCCAGGACCAGGGGGGTCATCCCGGTCACCTGTTCAACTGGTTCAACTGTTTTAATTGTTTCTTGTTTTAAAGACGCAAGTTTCCACATACAAGCTGCGCGAAGCTGGATGCAGCTTTGCCCGTATATACCCAGCCACTACATGGGAGACACAACATACATTATGAAGCCCCCTACTCTCCTTATCACGGAACGGACTAAACGACTCCCAACACACTCACTCAGGAGTCCGCCCACGTACCACTCGGGAGCATCGAGAGGATTGCCGACAGGCAGTGGCATCATGGTTACTGGGCTGTCTCGGGTCGGACAGAGACCCGAGATCTAGGAGATCCGGAGACCTGGAGAATGTTGCTTCCCATTGCTGAGAGCCCAGCCGGGCTGGTCTGTGAGGGGGCCATGGTGGTCACGGGCCGCATGGACTAAGCTTAGGAGAAGTGGCCGGCGATGAAGGGGGCCCACGGAGGCACACTGTCTGACCTACTGAGACTCTACCGAGACAGTGGAGGTGCAGAGGCCGCCCAGTTGTTGGACTCTAGGAGGGGGGGTCTCCTGGACTGCTGGATACCTCGAGTGCCCGCTACACCGAGAAGCTCATGGGGGGAGGGCTTTACCCGGAGCTGGATGTTAGTGTATATGTTGGCACCCCACGGGTACCTGATGTTGGTGAACTGGGCAGAGCCCTGCAGAGGCTTCACGCTACACCTCACATGTGACACATTCAGGGAGGGATAGCTCCCACCTAGAGCAGGTAGTTATCTTTACTTACTTTTTTTTTCTCAATTACTGAAGTTTTTTTATTTTTTTTTATTAATATAACCTAGCCGCACATGCTTGGACCAAGATCCCTGGGGTTCACAAGAGGACCTAACCGGGGATCTTCACGTTGGGCCCTATCCCACAGGTCCCTCCACAATCCCGAGGGCACCCTTCCCATTTTCCCTTTCCGCTTCTTTTATACTATCGTATCATAATTGTCTGGAGCGCTAGGGGGAGTTATACACGGCACAAACCTAATATGGAGTCTGGGCTATAGAATGGAGTAGACCACACGCCATAGTTAATGACATTGTTTTTGTCACAAGAAAAATCATAAGTAACCAGGGGCTTCCAGGAAGCGATAAACAGAAGATTCTTCTTCTCGCATGTTAAGGCACAATGTTCACAGCTGTAACCCTGTATATTGACTTAGTTTTTTGGAATACACCCTTTTTAATTGCAGGAAAACACACAGGAAATAGGATAGAGCAAAGGAAAATTAACAACCAGACATACATAAGCGATACACTGTGGGCTGACACTCGCCTTTAAAGGCTAACCTGAAATTCCACACAGTCCATATAACTTGGATAGCATGTGGGCCTGACGCACAGTGGCAACCATGCAATTTTCCACATACTAAATCTTGCATGACCCCATACCGACTATTAATTATATCTATAAGATATGCGCTTATAATCTTGCTGTACTTATGCTAGTATTAATGCAAATACCTAAAGATACCACTGATAAACCTACATATTTAATATATTCGTTATTTTTGAGTTCATTAAGCACATCTTCACAAAAATGTCCACTCATTTTGTAATATTCGTCTGCAATGTCACCGTATGTCATATTTAACTGCATTACGTTCGCACTCTCTACCACAAACGCCTACAAACAGACACAGCACCTGTAGTACTCTTCATGGATGCATTGGCTTTCAGACTTGTAATCACACTATTGCTACCATGACTAACTTTACTGCATTGTAATACTGCAATAACATTGCACAACAGCTTATATTGAAACATGTCCACATTTCCTACTGTCAATCTATGCAAAATGATGTGAATAAAATCCTTTGTTGAAGGGGCGTGGCCTGAGCTCTGACCGGGATGGACGCCTGAGCTGTGAGCTCCGTACCGCCAGCAACCTAAATAGCCTGCTAATCAGCTATTGTTAGCTCTTATGGGGCGCCACCGACGCACGGATACCCCCCAGACACCGAGGGGCTCCCAAACGGGTCAGCCCCACGGCCCGATGGACGGATTCCTCCAGTCCCAGACTGACGCGAGCGGGGAGGCAAGTGGATCTAATATGGCGCCGACGGCCCTACCCCCCAGGGAACCGCATGGCGCTGCGTTAGAGAGGATAGGTGAAGAACTCCGTACTATGGCTGCAGCCATGGCCACAAAAACGGACCTCCTAGTCCTCACAACCACCATACAGGATGCACTACGTGCCGAAATGGCGGGAATTCGGGCGGAGGTGACGGCACAGACAGGCCACATCCAGGACTTGGAACGCTCGCACGAAGCCCATGCCGCGAGGCAACAAGCAACAGACACGGCCTTTACACGCCAAGGTGAGCTGATCCTACAAATGAGATGGTCAGTCGAGGACCTAGATAACAGGGGGCGCAGATGCAATATCAGGGTCCGCGGGGTCCCCGAAAGTGAAGGAGGAGCAGAAAATGCAGAGGATACTTTACTTGGCCTATTCCGCCTGATACTTGGAGAGGCCGCACCCCACACTCTTAAATTTGAACGAGCTCATAGAGCCCTTCGCACCCGGTCCCTGGACGATGGCCCACGAGACCTGATATGCTGCCTTCACTCCTTTCGGGATAAGGATGCCATCATGAGAGCAGCCCGCTCCCGCCCGACCTGGGATTACAGAGGTGCTGCGGTATCCCTGTTTAATGACCTCTCCCCCATTACACTTGAGGCCAGGAGAGCACTGAAGCCAATCACAGCTGCCCTACAGGAACGGAACATACCTTATAAATGGGGCTTTCCCTTCGCCCTACTAGCCCGCACTCAGAATGGCTGGACATCGGTCCGCTGGCCCGAGGAGGTTCCAAGGTTCCTGGAGGAGCTGGACTTACCTCCAATAACGGTTCAGGACTGGATTTTGGGCCCACCGGGAGGGAGACCACGC